GCTTCATTTGTATAAATCTAAAAACTGTCCAGAATGTTCTCTTTCTAGTTCTTAGGGAGCAAGTTCCATTTACTTCATTTACATGCAGCAGGATTTCATGAACTTCTGTCACCCTCTGTCCTCTCTGTAGGTCTTTCCATATGCCAGAGGCCACTTCCCCTCTTTTCTGTGCCATTTAGTATTTAATGCCCATTTTGGAATCTTTTTAATTTATTTTAGACTTTTTCTGAACTGTACACAGTATTGTCAGTGGCTTTTAAAGGGGAACAAAGTGCCAGCGTATTGTTTCACTTGTCTTACTTTAAAATATAGTACTTTGTTGGCCTTTGTGACTGTAAAACCACATTCTCCTGGCAGGTTTAAGACACAGAACAATCAGGCAGAGTAGGGGAGTGCTGATTAACGCAATACTAGATCCTTCCAGTTCTACCTCCAATCCACCCACTTCTCTCTACCATCATTATCACTATGCTAGACCACGTGACAGCTCACCAACCGGCCTCCAGCAGTCATCCTCGCCAGTGTGGGTAGTAAAAGAAATCAGATCACACGGCTGCTGGTTGAAGCCTGTCAATGGTTCCATTACACCTACGCTCTGCAAGGATGGTCTGACCTCTCTGTCTCCACCCTCATCATCCCAAGGCAGTCTGTGTCCCACAATCCTGCCCCTAACACTCTCCCCCAGCCCCCGACATACGCCTTCTCCGACTTGGAACCACTTCCTCACCCCATGCTGTCCCCCAACCTGAAACTTCCCTCTCTGTTCTTTTCCCAGCTTACTTCTTTTCGCCCGTCAGCTCTGTTGCCACATCCTCTGGGAAGCAGTCCTTAAAGCCCAGCCCAGGGTAGTTTTCCTTGGAATACATTCCATTTGACCTTGACCTTTGCTTTGGTGACACTTCTTGTTCAAGTCCTGCCTTCTCTAGGTGTAGGTTCCCGAGGGCAGGGACCATGTCTGTTACGTACACTACTGCATCCCCAGAACCCCGTGGGGGCCCAGCACACGCAACATACTCATTTGTCATCTTCTTTTTTCTATGCGTGAGTAATTGAGTTTAGGACGTTGCAATCTTAGAGAACGCTGGCAGTCTTGCCCAAGTTTAGCTTAATGTGAAACAATGCAAGTCATCAGGATTTACCTGATATGAAAACACCAAAGTAAGCTAATAAGACCCAACAGCGCCATGGGCGGAGAGAAGTACACTAAGTTTTATTTTATACATGTGCACTGTTGTTTCAGCATATAAAACATGCCTGATCTTATAGTAGCACGTTTATCAAAAAGTATAAAATAGTCTTCTCCAAAAATGTTGAAAGGCCCTGTTGCTGAATTAGTGCCTATATATAAGTATCCACGTGGTACTTTTTCTTCCTACCAGGTAAGGGAATTGTTTCCATGGTGTGGACTCTGGGGAATCAAGAACAAATTTTTTAGGAACGTTTTTCTGCTGGTAAGTATATTCTCTTTCCTATCACTGCCCTCTTACATTCCATCAAGAAAAATCTGAAAATTTCCTTTTATAAAATCAAAACTGATTTTACATTCTTTTGCCAATAACCACATTCTGGAGGGTTGCTCAATTATGCTAACTGGACGCACCAGTGGGAAACTTGAGTGTGGCCGACACCAAGGCTTCGGATGAACTTGGTCCTGTGAAGGTGACATTATGGCTTCAACTTAGAAATCACTTTTCAGATCAAAGGGTGGGAGCTGCTGGCAGATCATGGGAGCAAGCGTAAGGTTGTGATGGTTGGAAGAAATCTCATTTACTGAATTGCTTGAGTGGAAAAATTTATTTTGAAACTTGAAATGAATCATCACAAACTCCAACAGCAAAGGAGTGCTTTGAGAAGTCTCTCCAAAACCATACAAAAATAAGCAAAGCAAAATTCCTGGAAGCATTCTAGGGAATGAACAATGTACCCACACCTTCTCAGATATTTCTTCCCAATAATTACATCGCCTTGCTCAAAGTGAACATGCTGGTATGTGCCTGAGCTTCTCTACATGGATAGTGGAGAGACAATTTTCTAGTAAAACTCACTCATCCACACAGTATCAAATAAGGAGATGAAGCTACTCTAGGGACTTAACCCCTGGTCAAGCAGCACTATCTCAGGGCTCAGGGTCTGGGCAGGCATTGGAAGGATGCCAGGCCATACCTGGCAGTTGCCAAAGGCCTGGAGGTGCTCTCTGGTTAGGCCAGGGTCCCACAGGCTTTGACAGTGCCCCAGTTTGTTTCAGATTGGCGCATGTTCCTATGCCTCTTTGGGGGAGCAGGTACATCCTTCTAAATCGCAACTTGGAGTGTAATAAGAACTTATTTGTACTAAAGACAGTACATGAGCACATATAAACAGGTGATCCAATCAGCTGACACACCGCCCTCTGGAACGTCACAGTCTTTCTTGATTTCCACCACCGACTCCCTGCTACACACACCTCCCCACAAAAGACAAAACCAACCCACACTCTTGCCAATTCCTGTGTGTTTCTCTCCAGAGCAGTTCATCTTCTTCACAGGAAATCCCATCATGTAACTCTCCCACCTCCAACCCTTCTGTGAGAAAATGTCCCTCCGGGTGTGCGTGGTCTGCCCCCCTCACTCCTTTGCCCCTTTTCCAGCCAGGACACAGGGATGCTGGCAATGGGTAGAGGCATGTTCTGATCTACGGTTGCCGGGAGGATGGGGAAAGGGGTAGGAGGTGTGATGCCTCTCGCCGTGGGATGACACAGCAAAAAGGCCCTAACAAGATGCCACACCCTCCGCCCTGGAAGTCCCAGCCTCCAGAGCCATGAGCTGAACGCATTTCTGTTCATTATAAATCACCCAGTCTGTGGTGTTCTGTTACCGCGGCCCAAAACGGACTAATACAGAATCTAACCTCCCTTACCAGACTACAGACTCTTTGAAGTTAGGACCTACACTGACATATTTACTCACCACCCTTAGAATCCACCGCAGTGTTTTGGACATAAATATTACATGAACAGATAAGGTTAATGAACAATAATGTAATAATTTTTGCTCTGTACTAATTGTGAGAATTTAGAAATTAATTCTAAAATATTAATTCAATTTGTTAGAGGAAGTCAACTAATGAACAAGAACACCAATGGTCTTCTGTTGCTCTATGCCAATATACATAATATTTGCAATTTCACCTTAAACGGTTTCATTCAATAGGCTGTTGTTTGCAACACAACTAAAAGAAAACCCCTATGCTGAAGGCTCGATAAACACATGAAATAGTAACACTGATGATCCTGGTGATCATAATAAAAAGGGTGAAAAAATCACCCTATTGGCTGGCTGCTAGGCAATTTGCCAAATGTAGGGGCTGGGACAGATAAGGATGGTAGAACCAAACTTAAAATCCACTTGGGGTTATCGTTTAGGTAAATTAGCAACTGTTGGAAGTTTATTCCCTTTTAAATATTATATATAGCACATTAGGTGAATGAATGGATTTACACAATGGAATCTAGGCAAACTATAGCAATTCTACCATAAACTAGGAGCAACGAACTCAAAGCACACGATCATTAACTCCAGGATTAGAAAGCCATCGTCTCTACTGCGGAGGGGCCACATTAATTCCTTTTGAAGTAAGTAAATGACCATCTCGTAATACCTCTGAGAGTCCAAAGGCAAGCACTGTTGAGTGAGGAACACAGGAGGATGTCTACATAACAAGGGTAGAGGTCCGAAGATAGCACTTGTGGCCAGTCCACGCTATTCGCTCTCTCTTCCCAAGCACACAAGCCTGGCGCAGGACCAGAGGGATGACTGCCCAAATCGCCCTGGCGCTCATCAGACACACTGCTTCCCATCACTAGGGCCATCCTGCCACGAGGATTACTATGACCACAGCTTCTGAAACAAAGTCACATAAAACCCTCTCATGCTTGTAAATCCTTACTTACAAACCATTTTAAAACAAGTTAATTCCACCATGAGTAAAGATAAATCACAAGAAAGGTTTAAAGTTAAAAGAAAACGATTTCACTAGAATGTTCTTTTTTGGGTCTGGGGCTAGAAGGAGAAAATTTAATTCTCTGATTAGGAACCCTGAAGGAAAAGGAGTTCTGACGAGGTTGAAAGGATGGGTCATGGGGCGCAAGGCACTGGCCGTGCAGGCACTTTTTCTGTCAGTATTTAACAGGTTAAAGAGTATCAGTGAGGATGCATCATTTCTGTTTAGGCATAAAACGCACTGACACAGAAACAAAGGCACTTGGAAACTTTATATTCTTTGGTTCTCTGAACAATAAAAGGCCTTGTCTAGTCAACATTTGGAGTAATCTTTCCCAGGGGGATTATTACTACTTGAGAGGGATGAAAGAGTAGCATTCTCATGATACATGTTCATTTTCTGAGACTACAGAGATGCCTCTTTAGGCGGCCATGTTCAGGATGCGTTAAGAAGTGTAAAGAAATATGGAGCCCCACAGTTCTCAGACATCCTCTTCGAGCTGTAGAGAAAGACTAAAACCAATCTGGAGAATCAGGCCCCTATGACTTCAAAAGGCGTACATCAAGGAACGGAAACTCTTTGAGAAAAACTAGGAATAAGACTGAACTCTTAACAAGATTTGAGTTATTCTGCACAGGGGTATGGGAGGCTTGGAGATGAAAGCCCAAGTAATTAACAGAGAATTTCAAGCTCGTGGACAAGAGGCATTGACTTTTCATTATAGCACAGTCCTTCTCTTCCAGATCCCTGACTCAAACGGTTATTAAAAATTGAATTTAGAATTCCTACAATTCAGACCATCCAGTCAACTGGAAGGAAAATGTGTTCTCAAAGCCAGAATTGATGAAACCTACTAGCTATAAACCTGGAACTAGCTCTCATTAGAATTTAGGTACAGTTTCCCTCTAAATCGTGTTCTTGTGATCTTTCCTTCTACGGAACTGGAAAAAAAAACTGGGAACACATTGGCACCAGAGGAGCTGCAAAGCTACGAGTGACAGTTGCGATCGTAAAGCCGTTACCGTGCTCCAGCGCTTTCATGGGAAACCAGAAGAGGATGAGGGAGTGGACCAAGGCGTTGATGCAGTGGCCCCAGAAAACCTGCGGGAAAACAGAGCACAGGAGTCAGGAGCTGCCCAGAACTCTTGACCTCTGTGTGGCTCAACAAACGCCACATTGTGAAGGACCCTGGCAGTGGCTGCATCCTTCCAGCAGCGGCAGATCATTCTCGAATTTGGGGGAAAAAAATCCTGTTTCTTAATTTTTACATACAAAAGACTGGACTATCTCCAGATAACATTACTTTAGCACAAAGACCTAAGTATATATCCACATGTATATAGACCAACACACAATCTAGTCACATCTGAGAAAGGAGCGGTGACCAGTTTTCTTTAGCATTGTAACGGACAACATTTTACAACCATCCAGAAAAAGGGTATTAGGTCAAAATTGTTAATAACAGACTAAAACCACATATTTTTGAAAGCATTAAAAAAATTTTACTTGTAAATTCTTATGCGGAATTCTCTTTTGTCTTACTCCTTTAAATCTCCCTCATTCCACTTTTTCTTTAATTTTTGGGTTTTTGGTTAATATTATACACATTTGAAAATTCTCTTTAATTTCATACTTGAAAGGTCAACCAAAAGAACACAAAGTTCGGTTTATCCTGAACTTTACTTTCATTAACGCGTTTCAATCATCCTTTGAACCACTGAGATGACAGAACTATTAAAGCCAGATTAAATGTACTTAAAAGTCTACCAGTTGTTCCGGGAACTGTCACATAGTTCTATCCTAAGTAGTGGCAGGACAACAGAAGATAATGAAAAACATTATTATAAGACAATGGGATTTTTCCCTCCATTTTAAATATTCATTTTGCACTACTCTTTCCCTGATGTGTCTTCCAAAAAGAAAAAAGAGAAAAATTTCAAAGTGCCTGAAAATCAGTTTCGGGGCATTCTCAGCTCTTCCACCTTTGCCTGGGGTCCATTCCCTACCCCTTCCCACCTCAAGTGGCCTTTGAATTCAAACTCTGTAGAAAACAGATTTAATTTATGTAATAATGAGAGGAAAGGGTATTATCTTCCCAGTCACGGAACCACAGCAAGCCAGACCCGACACGCCGGTGGCCCAAGGCTCTCTAGCACGGAAGACAGCAGAACCACAGGGTCCCTTTTGTTTCCTAGTCTCGGACATGCCTGCGAGGCCCCCTCAGGACCGGGCAGCTGTGAAGGACGCCTGTCGGTAGCACCTGGCGCAGAAGCAAACCCGCGGAGGCGCCGTCTGGCTGGGGCCTGGGGGGCAGGGAGCCGCTGATGTGCACCCTCACCAGGGCCCAGGGGCCACCCACGCATATGGTGAACACCCGGCACGTTGTAGCTGCGCTGGGCGACCGGCCTCTGCCTAAACTTCTGAATCCCACCTGCGCAGAAACCTAAGACAGAAACACGGCCACGCTCACGTCTCACCCCCTGCCGGCCGGGCACACATCTTGCCGTCGGGCAGGTGCACCCGCGTGCTCTGCCACTCTCAGCCACGACCGACCCTGCGGGACAGACCCCCTTGGCCGTTCCAGACTGCGCATTCCCTTTAACACCCAACCCAGCTTTGGCGTGGGCTTCTCAGGATTATCCAAACCTCCTCGATATCCTTTCTGAGTCTCTGGTCTGGAAAAAAACCCCAAGAACCCGTGACTCACTTAATTTTTGTGTTCGTATCTAGCCAAACGAAAAACCCAGCAGCAGTCAGGCAAGCTCCCAGCGGCCTCCACGCAGGCTGTGTGTAGGAATAAGGGGGGCTCTGCCGGCCGATCCTGAGGGACCTGGGCCCTGGGTGCTGCTGGCTGTGCTGACGTCAGAGTCTTAGGGAGGAGCGGGAAGGACTCAGCAAACTAGAACGTAAAGATGCACCCCATGCAACGAGGACACGTCACTCCAGAAGCCACGTCTAATTTACTGGGCTTGCTGTGTGTGTGTGGGCGTGGGGCACGATATTGGTGCTTCTCAAATGTTTCCTCTCAAGCTTGAGCTGTCGCACGGGCAGATGACTGGCGTGGAATGGCCAAAGGCATGGCTACGCCTTTCTGAGGTGACAATTCCACGATCACATCCCGTTTACCTTTGTGTTGAAGCCTTCGGCGTTCTGGGTGATTTTGTAGAGCTGTGGAAACCTGAGCATGCTCTCCTGAGTGCAAGACCTCTCGAAGATTCCCAGAGTGAAGGGCGGCAGAGCAGTGAAAATCTGCAGGGAGAACAATGAGCCATTGAGAGCAGCCCTGCCGAGCGGCAGCTTCAGCTTCCCTGCTACCAGGAGATGACTTCATTTTCAGTCAAGCCCGAGCCTGAGATTCAACGATTCACAACTCCCCAGCCATCCTCCAAACAAAGAAAATAAATGAAAGACCACGTCTATGCTAATCAGAGCAAAATGACTGCACCGAACACTAAAAACAGCACCATAAATACTGGGTTCACCAAGACATTTTGTTAAATTAACAACTACTTTCCTTTGCAAAAGGGGCAGTGATGTAGAATCGTGCCACGCTTAGCTTCGCGAAGTGTTTCGTTTTCTGTTCGCGCTGGCTGAGGCCCAATTTTACAACTTCCCACCCTGGTTTTATACTCGAATTTCAGGGAGCATAATGTACTCCACCCAGCTGTCCCTGCGGTAGACGTGTGCTGCGGCTGAATTACGGGCTAGATGCTGCGATGAGCCCCAGGAATGGAGAGATTATACACAGAAGAAAGGAGGAGAGGAAGCAGGTCCCTGCCCTCCACGCACTCCATCTACTGCAGAGGGGGGTGCGGGGCAGTGGGAGACAGGCGTAACGATAAATATGTAAACACAGGGCTCTGCAAAATTACTCACGGGGGAGAGGATGGAGGAGGAAAAGGCAGAGTCACGAAAGGAATCCTGTACCAAAGAGTATTTGACCCTCGAGGTGTTGGATCCATGGGGTTTTGCAGGATGACAGGGGTGGGGGTGAGGGGTGCCCCAGGAAGCACTCCCGTGAGAGGAGCACCCCTACAAAGCTCCGAGGCATCAGCAAGCATGGATACAGGTGCTGAACGAAGCTTATGGGAGGCCAGTACGTGGACTTAGCTCCTGTATTCGGCCCCGGCAGACCGGACCAAACCAGAACGGAGTCACCTGTGCTACCAGAACCTTCATCAGACTGAACTCTGAATTAGATCAGTTTTCCAAAAGAACAGGAGAGTCACAGCAACTGATCCGAAAGGGCCCAGGTCCCTGAGGCAGCATGAGAAGGGAGTCCCTTCTGTTCTAATGCTACAAGGAAAGTCACCAATCACTTTTTGTTCTGTTTTTGCTTTCTTCTGCCTTTTTCTTTTCTTTCTTTTTTTCTTTTTTTTTTTTTAGGAGACAGGATCTTGCTCTGTTACCCAGGTTGGAGTGCAGTGGAGCAATCATAGCTCACTCCTGGGTTCAACTGATCCTGCTCTCTCAGTCTCCCAAGTAGCTGGGACTACAGGGGTGTGCTACTGCACCTGGCTAATTTTTCTATTTTTTTTTTTTTGTAGAGACGGGGTCTTGCTATGTTGCCCAGGCTGGTGTCAAACTCCTGGCCTCAAGCAGTCCCCGCACCGTGGACTCCCAAAGTGCTGGGATTACAGGTGTGAGCCACGGTGCCTCTTCAGCCCTTTCCTTGCTATGAAGCCAAGCTCCTCTGCTCAGCTCATCAGACCACTCATCGTACTCATTTTACCAGCATGAGATGTTACCCGATTCTAGAATTGCCAATAAAAGCCAAGTAGACCTGTAGACGGTTGTAATTTTGTCTTTTGACAGAGGGACCTTCTAAGACACACAGGGTGGTGGATGGTGGCTGGCTGAGGTTGTGGTGTGAGACAAGGATGGGGAGAGACCAAACAAGCTCCGGTGACAATGACTTCCTGGGGAGATGGTTGCCTCCTAAGACTTTGACTTTTACCTGCGCTCTACAGGTGTGTGGCACACTCACGTTTGTGTGTTAGAAAGCTGAAGCCAGGTGCTAAAGAAGGGGTTTGGAAGAAACACGTCATCTCATGTCATTTCAACCTGGGACATGCTGTGGCCTGAGGGATTCTTTGCCTGGTTCTGGGCACGGGTCACAGTCTGGGTCACTCGCTGCTCAGCGTCAGCATCACAGAATCCATCTCGCAGACCCAGCAAGGCCTCGAGGCTGTGGGAAGACGACGTGTGTCTCTGGAAGAATTCCGAGCCCACGCCAGGTATCTGCAGACTGAGCACGTGGCCAGAGGAAGCCTGGCCCAAGTCTGTCAGGACCAAGCAATGAGGGGTGTAGTGAGTAAGGTCAGTAAATTCTCCAGCCCAAAGCGCAACAGAAGCTGCCCTGGGATTTCAACGTGCTACAAACGCTGCCAGGAAAAATCACGTAGAGCTGTCCTCACTTCCCTCACAACAGCAAAAGTTGTCCGTTTTATGTTGAAAAGAAGGAGCTCCTATCACGTCTCAGAAACGCCACACCCTTCCTCAGCACTCACCTTCACCTCCACTGCTTTGCATCCGTGCAAACGGGATATCACGCACACGGTTACGCATGCATGTGATGTCATGCATCCTGGTTATGCCGCTTTTTTCTTTTTTTACTTGAGTTTCTACTTCTCCCTACTTCGAATCCTCCCCCACCCTTCATCATCTCTGGGTTATGATGAAGCCAGTTAGCTCTACGTAGTTTCCATGCTGCCCTCAGCACACTACGCAAGTGCACGCACACACACACACACACACACACACACACACACACACACACACACACACACAGGTTAGGGGTCATGATTTGTTTTACAAAAAGCGGACATTATACACATTTTTCTTCACCATACTTTTCTTGCTAAACATACATCATAGAAAGCCCTCCAAGTCCCTTGGGTTTGACGCCAATGTGGTCTTTTTAATGCTCACATAATAATTCATCGTATGGACCTACTGTCATTTCTTAGCCATTTTCCCACTGACAGGCATTCACTGTATTTCCAGCTCTTTGCTGCCGCAAACATTATGTAACAAACACCTACAAAATATCATAACGTATATATTTTTTCTTTTATTTCTATGGGAAGGAGGCCCAGCAGGAGGGTGGTTGTATTTTTTATTTTACTAGATGCTGCCTGGTCACTTTCAAAAAAGGTTTCAATCATTTTCTTCTCCCCTTGCAGAAGACCACACTAAACTCCTCCCTGTTTCCCTACCAGCAATGGTTGTTACAGTATATATAGTATTCTCCAGTCTGAAAAAGTAAAGATATTAATTCTTATTTTTAAAAAAATTACATTTCCCTGACTACCATAGAGTTTCAGCAAGTTTTCACATATTTGAAATATATGTACATATGTGTATACACACACACACATGAACACACAGCCATTTGGATCTGCAGTTCTGTGAAATGTCTAGTCGGGTCTTTGGTCCATTTTCTACCTATGGTTTATCCCCTTTCTGAGGAGTTTTTTGAGTATAACAAATATCAACTCACTGTAAAATTTTGCCCAAATGCACTCTTTGTCTATTGGCTTTTTAAATGGTTTCTTTTACTACAAAAAGCTTTTAATGTTTATTTAAATTAATTTATTTTTTGAGATGGGGTCTTACTACATTGCCCAGGCTGGTCTCAAACTCCTGGGCTGAAGCAATCCTGCCCTCTCAGCCTTCCGAGTAGCTGGGACCACAGGCACAAGCCACTGCACCTGGCTAAAAGCTTTTAATGTTTAAATGGTCAAGAATAGCTTCTGAGCGTCGAATTATGGTAACAGAAGTTTCCCTTCCTTGAAACTTACACGTTTTCAGAAGTGTCTTGTAGGATTCTTATAGTTTTACTTTCTGCATTTAAGTCTTTACTATATCTGGAATTATTTTTTCTAAATGGTATAAGATAGAAATCCAATTTTTTCCAAATAAAGAGCCTGTTGTGAGAACACAATTAATTAATCCATACTTTTCTCACTAAATTGAGAGATCACTTTTAATGTTTATCAAATTCTCATATATTATAGATCTAGAATCTAGAAATGGGATCTAGTTATAGACTCTCTAACTTATTTATTTAGTTCTATGCCAATGGCATTGATTGATTATGGTGGCTTTATAGTACGGTCATATTTAGTAAAGACATGTCTATCCTATATGGTCTTTTCTGAAAATGCTCTCCATACTTATTCTCAAGTACTCATTAATTCCACTTACACTTTAGTAAAATTTTATAATTTTATCCCCTCTTCCCCACTCCTCAACAATCCCCTGTTGGGATGGATTCTATTTGGAATCACATTAATTTACACATTAATTTTAGAGGAGTTGATTTTTTTTTTTTTACTTCAACATCTTATGGGGATACAAATGTTTAGGATACATACATTGCCTTTGCCCCATCCGAGTCTTTTATGATATCGTTTTCTTGTACAAGAAAATAGTAAGTAGTATGCCTTTTTCCATTTGTTCAAATCTTACTTTGTATACTTCGATAAGACTTTTTTTGTGTGTGCAGGTAAAATAAAAATTATTTCTAGGCAATGTATAATTTTAATTGCTATTTTGAAAGGAATTATTATCCACTTTGCATTTCCATTAATAGGTGGTCCATTACTAGAGTAAAAAAAAAAAAAGCTATTGATTCCTAGGATAGAAAAAAGTGATCTTTTTTTAGAGACAAGGTCTTGCTCTGTTGCCCAGGCTGGAGTGCAGTGGCATCATCATAGCTCACAGCAACCTCAAACTCCTGGGCTGAAGCGATCCTCCTGCCTCAGCTTCCCAAAATGCTAGGATTACAGGCATAAGCCACCACACCTGGCCCAGATTTTTTTATATATTTATCATTTATCTGGTCACCTTATCAAATTATCTTATAATTCTAGTATTTTTCAATTGGTATCTTTTGGATTTCTAGGTAAACAATTATATATGAACATATTTACATGGCCATATCTTCTGTGAGCATATTTGTATAAGCACAGAAATTATTCATCATTTTCCTAATATTTGTAATAGTTATTTAATCTTCTTGGTCTGGCTACTGCTAAAAATCCCAGAACAATGCTGAATTATATAGTGATGGTAGGCATCTTGACTAATTTCTTAGTTAAAATGATACAGTCTTAGAATTTTACCACTCATGGAAACACGCTACTGATTTTTGTAAATAGTGTGGATTGCGGTTGATTGGTTTCTCCCTATTCCTGTTTTAGAGTTCTTATTTAGGGAATGGCAGCTGAATTGCTTCAAAACTTTGGTAGCATCTGCTGATGGGGTCATGTTTTTCTTCTTCATTTTGTTGATACAGTGATATTTAGAAAGTTTTTTTATTTCAAACCTCCTGTACGTCTGAAATAAATCATACTTGGCCAAACACTTCATTAATACACTGTTGCACTCCATGTGCTGATATTTTATTTAGAATTTTTGTACTTACGTTTATCAGTGAGGTTGACCCATGGTTTTCTTCTTCAAATTATCCTGACTTGATAATAGGGTTAGTTTTCTGAAGCAGGTTTAATAACATTAGAGTTCTCTCTACACTGAGACATATAAGAAATTTAGCTAAAACTCATCTGATTCTGGTAGCATTCATCCCTGGTGGCCTTTCTAATCTCATTCTATCCACAAAATAAAATGATACAGAAATTTGACTATGGATATAACGAGAATGTAATGGGACAGCATTCATTCACTATTTAGGGGGATGCAAGAGTTTCAATCCTATTTTTTAAAATTTCAGAATATTATGGGGGTACAAACATTTGGGTTTCATATGTTGCCTTTGCCCCGCCCAAGTCAGAGCTACAAGCGTGTCCATCCCCCAGACAGTGCAAACCACACCCATTAGGTTTGAATATACCCATCCCCTTTTCCCCGCTCCCACCTGCCCGATACCCGATAAATGCTACTACCATGTGCGGACATGGTGTTGATCAATGAATGCCAATTTGATGTTGAGTACATGTGGTGCTTTTTTTTATATTCTTGTGATACTTCACTTAGTAGGATGGGCTCCAGCTCTACCTAGGATAGTACAAGAGGTGCTAGATCACCATTGTTTTTTGTGGCTGAGTAGAACTCCATGATATACATATACCACATTTTATTAATCCACTCATGTATTGATGGGTACTTGGGTTGTTTCTCCATCTTTGCAGTTGTGAACTGTGCTGCTATAAACGTTTGAGTGCAGATGTCTTTTTTATGGAATGTCTTTTTTTCCTTTGGGTAGAAGCCCAGTAATGGGATTGCTGGATCAAATGGAAGTTCTACTTTTAGCTCTTTGAGGTATGTCCATATTTCTTTCCATAGAGGTTGACAGTCCCACCAGCAGTGTATGAGTGTTCCTATCAATCCTATTTTAATGCTGTTTAACCTGCTATGAGAATTAAACTGAGAAAGGGTGATTTGCTACGTTAGCTGGCTTGGGGAATCAAACATAAAGAAAACATGCAGAAGAAGAAAAAGCAGGCGAGAAATACTGCTTGAAGAAAATGGCAAGGGCCAGCCCAGACCAGCAGAGGGGGTCACTAGTGAATGCCTTATGTGTTACACACTGTCTCTCACGGGGGTCTCTGGAGAAATGCTGGCCTGGGAAAAATTGTTAAATATGACATTACTGGAATAATAACAGCAAAATTGGAATATGACTAACACGGATTAGATAATATTATTGTATCCATGGTAAAGTTTTCTGATGTTATCGTTATATTGGTTAGGTAAGAGGAAGGGCTTGCAATTATCCACTGAAGCATTAAGTAGCAAAGGGGCACGGTGTCTGTAACACACGCCCCACTTCAGTGTATGTGCATGCGTGTGCACGTGCACACGTATGTATAGACAGAAGGCAAATGGGGGAAAATGCTAACACTTGAGGAATCTGGGTGAAGGGTATACAGAAGTTCTTTGTACTCTTTTTTAAGCTTTTCTGTAAACTTCAATTTATTCCATACAAAGTTACCAAAATGATTTCTGTGGAGGCGAACCTCCGTGTTCTGCAAAGGTTGGTCCCTCCAGCCTGAGGGACCACGGAGGCCAGTGACCCTTGTGACCACACTTCACGGCTCCTTGACGTCCCCAACTGGACCGTGCCACCTGCCAGCACCCCTGGCAGCCCGCTTCAGTGGCTGCACTGTGGACTCTGGTAAACTTGGGCCATTTCCCCTTGAAATATACTTCTCTGTCACAAAGTCAAAAAATCACATATTCCCAACTCAAGGGATCAAAGGTCACCGTGGGTCTCAAACTTTAATGTGCGTAACAATAACTAGAAAAGTTTGTTTAAAATTCAGCGTCTCTGAGACGCCCTTTGCTAGGGTGAGGTGGGGCTCAGGAATCTGCATTATTTCAAATAAATCCTGGTTATTTGTGGGCAAGTGGTCTGTGGGCCTTATTTTGATCAACACTGCCCTCTAGCCTGTCAGCATCTTGTGTGTAGTAAGCACTCAATAAAATTTGTTGGATTAATTTGAATTGCCCAAGGCTGCATGGAGCTAAGGAAAGAATCTGGCCCTCCTCCCCTGAGCATGAAAATAGGGCTAAAATCCACTCATCCTACACGCAGGTGACACGCATTCCAGTTCTAACCTTGGCTCTGCAGCAGAGCCTCCTACGTCTCAGTGTCCTATAAAATAGGCACGTGGCATAGGTTTGCGTGAAGTGTCAACTCTACGACATTTGACCCTTAGAAACACTGAATAATTATGGAGCAGTCGCGCATTTCCCCCAAATGGTTGTGTAACTTTAGCCTACTCAAAATAGTTTCAAGTCCTGCAAAGTTAGCACTCTCTGGTCTCCCCTTAGTACACAAAGGGGAGGCCCTTGAGCCCCTACCAATAGCGCAGGCAGTCAGAGTAGCTTTTCCAGCACAAGCGGGGAATGGACATCAGATTAAGGCTTGTTCTCACTACTAGTCACGTTCGTCTTGTAGGCCATCAGTATCCATAAAGAATGTGCTGGTGCGCTTTGCAGCAAGTAACAGTTACTAACTCACCCACACAATTTAAACTCAAGCTCCGACTCCAGCCTGGGAGGTGTCTGAGTCCACACATCTGACCCTCTTAACCTGTAAGCTACACAGGGCCAGCCGAGCTATCGTATTCGGCATTTTACACCCAGCACCCAGTACTGCAGCTGCTCAGAGAAGAGGGCCCAACGCGTGGATGACTTAGACATCCAGCCACAGTGGGTGCACACACCGTAAATATTTACAGCACCACAGGTTATCCTATTGTATGTCCTGTAACTTCCACCTCCACCTATCCGTGATGGCTGCTTCACAGCGTAAACTCCCGCGGAGCAGAGGACGCCAGAGCTGGGGTGCAGTGCCACTGGGAGAACGTGACTCCAGACACGGGCCGCTCTGCGGTCTTCAGAGCACTTAGCTACGAGCCCCTTAGTTCTTCCCGTGAAACAAAGAGCAAGAAAGCTAAGCAGCTACTGTATCATTTTAGCTTATAGTTTATATTTACTTCTAGCTTTTGAATTCATTACAGTCAAGTAATAAAAAAAAGAACATGAAAATCATCAAAAATACCGGATGAGCTGATTACCATCCTCTACAGTGGCCGGAAGTCAGAATTCATCATTTTAGCTCTAACTGTGGAAGAAAACATGCTTCCACAAGGACAGACACTCTTTCAAGAAGGACAAAAAGGACACTAGATCACATGTTCTATATTCCTAACTATGTTTTAAGCATTCAGAACCAAAACAATGAAGTGGAGTGAGTTTAGATGTAGTTCAGAAATTTTCACTTGAGCTAAAAACATGAAAATGTTGTGTAGGCATTTAGTAAGAGGGTAGCGAGGGTCCATTATCAAGATATATGGGTTAATAATTTCATGGGGTTATTCGAGAATGATCTGCTATGATTGAAACCATGTGTGGAGAGTTTGGGCTTCTGCAGGATGTGTCGTGGCAACAAAGGGCCCAAAGATGTATTTGTGCTGCCTGCTAAGTATACAGATGATTGACTTAGATACACTCCCCAGACATAAACAGTGAAGGAATGTCACTGAAGTCCCGTGTGCTATCAGATGGAGAATGCTTACCACATTGTACAGGCCGATGCACCAGCGTTCAAATAAAATCTGCCCAGAAAATCCATTAACAAAGGCGAACCAGAGCTGAAAGAGAAGAAAGTTCATGAAGTTTTATATCAATATTGACCTAAATGTTTCCATTCACTGAACAAGTAGCAGGGAATGTGGACCACCAGCTGGACACAGCTGCTGGGAAATAATGAGCCCCAGGGCTGTAGCAGTTGCTCTTTCATAAAATATATTAATAAATTCCCCGAATCACAAATATCAATATTTTAGAAAAATTTATACTTCAGGCATACATCTATTTTCAGAGGTTATATGTACGTGTTTACAGAAAAACAATTAATATGTAATTTCTAATAGGCTTTATGTCAGCACTTTCTCATTGACTGGAAGAGTCTCAACTTCATGTTCTTTTTTCCTATAAAGTCGATTTGATAAATATGAGTTTTCTTTGTAGGACTTCCAAATAGATAAAAATCGTAAGTAAAAAAACACAAACACTACTCTGCTGGTCACGTGTGTTCTTAGTCCATAAAATACTGACCCTCCGTAACTGGAGGTCCATTCACCACCGCGGCAAAGGTCAGAAGACAGGAATGTGAGAGAAACAGGCTCAAATCATCTTTTGGAGTAACGTGGGATGTATAAATAAATAAAATGTGGACTGTTCTTTATGTCTTCAAGTAGCCTATCATTCTAATTGATTAGGCAAGACCGACATAAAAACAACCACAGAGCAAAGTGCCAGGATATGACTAGTGCCACGTGACAAGGGGATACAACAATGTCAGCGAAGGAAAGACTGCCCAGGTGCAATCGGAAGACGACACAGAGGCAGCAGGAGGGGAATGGAAGAGGGGAGGCCACCAGGAGGACGGAAACCTGACTTAGAAGGGAGCAGATAGAAAATACGGAATACGAAACGCTGCTGCCTCAAATTCTGCTAAATTTATATGCAACAAGATTCCAATGATTTGGGCAGACTTTAAAGTGTCCCATACAAATCACAGAATCTCCCTGAGCAGAATACAATCACGACAGACTAAACCCGTTACTATGGTTAAGACCTAAGTGGCAACACTGCGCAGCCACACCAAGGTGACCTGAGTTGAGATCCACTCTGGTACCGAAATTTTACTGACTCAGATTTTTCAAAATCAGTTTCTTGACTCTACCAGACGCAGTTTCTTGAGACAGGAATTGTTCCCTATGCTGCTCTGTGCATGATACCGGGTACAAACAGGGACTCACCAAGTCCCAGTGGGACCAAATTAAATGGCTCGATTCAATTGCTAGATAAAGTTTTCCTTGAATACGGATTTCATCATCACATTCTCAGTTCAAAAGTCTGCCAGGGTTCCCACCTAAATCCAAGATGAGCTTGTAGGCTTTCAAAAATCCTTCCAACACTCCTATCCACTCTTTAAATTTTCTTTTTCTTTTTAAAAACTTCTTATTTTATTGTAAATTGACAATTTATAATTGTATATGTTTATGGGGTACAAAATGATGTTAAGATTTATGAATACAGTGTAGAATAATTAGATCAAACTAATGAACATATCTATCACCTCAAATACTATTTTTTTTGGGGGGGTGAGAATATTTGAAATTTACTCTCTTGGTAATTTTGTTTTTATCCTTTCTCTTTTTTAGTGGACATTTCTGATACCATAACTCTCAGCCATTTTAAAATGTACAATACACTATTAATTATACTCACCAAGTTGTGCAGTAGATCTCCAAAAAAACGCCTCAAAACATATTCCTTCCGTCTGAGACTCTGTATCCCTTGATCATCATCTCTCTGTTGCCTCCACCTCAGCCCCTGTAACCACGTTCCAAGTGGGAGTTGGCACTTTCTCTCCTATCCACTCAATTTCAACTCTCCTCCCAAGAGGTCTGGCTATTCTCAGTCAAGAAATATTGGTGGAGAACTGAGAACCAGAGGTTCATTCTGTGTTTTGTGTTTGGAGAATTCTTATAACACCTATTCAAATATCAGCCAACCCCAAAACCACAACTTCAATCCCCCTCACTCTCCACCACTGGAGGTCCTGGCGTTCAGTGTTTCAATCACACTTTCAGTGTGATGGGAGCTTGGATCCACATCTGATTCCGACAAATCTGTAAACTGTTTCAAGGGTTTTAACTTAATTTTCCCAACACTGTGTTGTAATTCTGAGTTCTATTCAAACAACCGAGCAAACACTGATCGATATCTAGTGAGCACTTAATTAATTGTAATTCAGTTAATTTGCTGTCTTATTGAAGGTGGTAGTGACATTTCTACTACCCTGCCTTCCCTAACGTTGCCTAACATAGCAAAAATAATTGAAAATAGAAAAGAATGAACCGTTTCCAATGAAACTATGAATGTCCTTAATTACAACCACACATAACACAGACCAGACACTGATACACATGGGAAGACTAGATCAAATCAAGAGAGAATGCCAATAGCAGACAAAACCTATAGATTCAAATAAAGTTAAAAAATATTTCCAAGAAATAGGCGAAACAACTCAAGAAATAGCTGAACCAACTCTTACTCAGAAGATAGAATACAGAGGGAGGGGTGAGCAGTGGCAGAGGTCCCTACATGGATCAACGCAGCAGGCAAACTGAAGTTGAAGGGCAATACATGCAGGTATACCTTTTCCCCCCCTTTTTTCCAAGAATCAAAGAGGGAAAATGGCTGAGTCCCAGGAGGAAGCATAAATGGCAACCAACCTGGCAGACACTGAACAAGGTGAACTGAAAAGAAAAAAAAAATGCAAAATCATCTGGCGCCAACCCATACACACAGCAATTCCCTGAGAGGCATGCAAGCCTCCTCTTCCAAGGGTAAGAAATGGCAGCAAAGGAGGTGCTCATTATCGCGAATAATGATAGGAAACCAGCAAAGAGACAAGAAAATGTGATAAGAAAGTATTCTGAGGCAACTTTGAAGCTCCCCTCCCCTGGAAATATTAAAAATTATACAGAAAAAATGAAAGAACAAGACAAATGCACATGAGGTAATCTTTGTAGAAGAACTAGGCCACAGGGCAGAAGAAAATTTTGAACATTCTTTGTGAGCCTGAAAGAGCTAATGAAAATGTGTTTCTTTGAAATAAAGGTTAAAATAAGATGTGTAAGATGTCAAAGAAGGAGACAAACAGAAAAAGGTGAATGTTACAGATTAAAGTCCCACAAAGGGAAATAAAAACCAGAATCGACATTGCTGAAACCACATGCAGGGACCGGGAGGGAAGGCTCGAGAAATCAATGCTCAGCATGGGACAAGTGTTAATGAAGATTTCAACAGAAACTTAGTTAGAGGCCTTTAAAGATAATTTGAAAATTCAAAAAAATATACGTAGTTAAAAAAAAAAAAGAACACATAGAATACTAAAAAAATGTTCAAAGATATATCAGAAGAAAAAGTTCTGAAATAGTTTAAAACCTTAATCAGCCAATACAGAGGACATCCTTTGTCTTAGGAAACAAAACAAGCAACAGATACAGAAAAATCAACACCCACGTATATCCTGCTATAGAAATTTAAAGAGTTTTAAATTTTTATAAGATCAATTCTTGAGTATATTTAGGAAAAAAAAAGGAATTAACTTACAAAGGGGAAAAATCAAGCTGGTGTCCTATTTCTCTCTAGCAGTACAAGACACCAGAAGGTAGTGAGTATTTACAAGTCCTCAGGGAAATAAAGTACAACAGGGGTTTTGGCAAAAGAAACCAAGGAAACACCAAAAGGAGAAAACTAACATAAAATGTATGACAGAAGTAATACTAAATATGTGTGTTATGTTAATAATAAAAAATTTTAAAAGCTCAGATGGATAAAAAATTAAAATCCAAAATATCTGCTACACATAAGAGAAACATGTCAAACAAACACGCAAAGGAAAGGCTGTACAAATGCGATCAAATCTATAACCCTGACTTACAAAGCCCTACCAAGTTCCCACCTGTCTTTCCGACAACACTGCCTCTCCTGGGCAAAGCTATATTGGCCTTCTGCAGTTCCGTGAAAGCACCAAGTGTGGATCAGCTTTAGTATTTTGCACCCAAATATGAGCAATCATGTCAACAGCATTTGTTTAATAAGCCATCTTTAGCCCACATGTCTGAAATGCTCTTTATCATATGTTAAATTACCACAGTATCTGGAAAAAATTATATGGTATTTCAGTCTCTATATATGCAAATTAATTTCACATGGCTTGAATATTTAAATATAAAAAACAAAACTCTGAAAGCTTGGAAGAAGACATGAAAAAAGTCATTCTACTAAATGTGAAAACGGCTCTCTGTAAGACATTAAACTCAGAAAGAGGGATAAATTTGAAACAAAGCAGTTAATTTCTACAGAGAAAAATTATCAATAAAATTGAAAGAAAACTGATAAATACTACAAAAATATTTGTAACATCTATGAAAACAAAGGCCTAATTTCCTTAATATATAAATAGTTCTTACAAATCAGAAAGAAAACACCCTACAAACGGCTAGGAAAATAGGCAAAGAATACGCAAGGTCTGTCCGGAAGGTATCCAGCCATAGTTAAGATAATGGGAGTGTTTGCGGACATTGATGAAACCCAGCAGCCACGGAAAGTGGACTGGGATGCGCTGTATGTGAACAATGGCGCCCTCACTGTATTAGTCAGTGGGGCGCTAGACACGTTACGTTAGTGTGTGTACCAAGTGGCCGTCACATTCAAAACAACTGAGCGAGTAGAGCAATGAATCTGCATCAAATTTTGCATTAAACTTGAACATTCCTCCACAGAAACTATTCAGATGACCCATAAGGCTTTCGGAAACGATGCAATGAGTGCAGCACAAATAAAAGTATGGCACAAACGCTTCAAAGATGGTGGAGAATCTGTTGAAAGTGATCCACGTTCTGGAAGGCCTGCAACACGCAGAACACCTGAGAATGTTGAACGTGTAGGGGTCAGGTTAAGAGACGCTGGGAGAACTGGGTGAGGTCCCAAGGTGCCTACTCTGACGGACTGAGGCGTCATTGTCCTATGTACAATGTTTCTTGTATCTTCTTCAATAAATGTCTCTATT